CAGGTTGCTTGACTCCAAGCCCATGTCTTTATACTTCACCAAGCAGCCTGCTTACACTAGAGACAACTGGACTTAAATTCTCCACAAAGCAGTTGAGAACCAGATGTTTAAGTTAAAAGGCTGCTAAAGCATTCACATAACACAATGAGAGTTTCAACCATAGGGTGGACCTGTATGAGGTGCTGCTGATATAGCTGTAAAGCAAACAGGTCCCTGCCCTCATGAATCTTACAATCTGGAAAGGATAAACAAGATGGGACACAACTGTAAAGTGTGATGAATGTTACCTACAAATTGTACAAAATGCTATTGGGATTTCTGGCTGAGATAAGTAGAGTTAAGAGGTACTTTGAAGATGGACTCCATAGCACTAACTTATACATGTGAAGGACCAGGGAGTGAAATGGTAACCATTGGTGAAGGATCAGGTTAGCAGGGAAGATACTGGATTTGTTGGCTAGGTTGACCTTGAAGGGCTTAGAAAACACTGGAGCAAATAGTCAAATTGCTTGTAAAGTCCATTGAAGCAAAACAGGCTAATATTTCAATCAGCTGTATATAGTTCCTAAATAAATCTAATTTCATGGCCCTCCTAACCCACGCCCCCATAATATCAAGTCCTCATTATCTCTTTTATATTAATCTATCTCCCTATTTCCCGTCTCACTCTACTTCATTCTTTTATAATGCAAATATGATCATCTCATTTTCTCACTTAAAAGATTATTGGACTATAAGTTCCAATATAGTAGCCATTGACTACATGTGGTTAGTCTAAACTGAAAGGTGTTATAAGTGTAAAATACAGAGATTTCTAAGATGTAATAATGAAAGAAAATGCAGATTTTATTAGTAATTTTTTTTTAAGGTATTAGGGATTGAACTCAGGGGCACTCTACCACTGAGCCACATCCCCAGGCCTATTTTATATTTTATTTACAGACAGGGTCTCACTGAGTTGCTTATCACCTTGCTGTTGTTGGGGCTGGCTTTGAACTATTGATCCTCCTGTTTCAGCCTCCAGAGACACTGGGATTAAAGGTGTGAACCACCTGGCTTATTAGTAATTTTTATATTGATTATATGTTAAAATAATGTCTTTGGACATATTAAATTAAATATATTATTTATTTTTATTTTATTTTTTTCAATATTTATTTTTTAGTTGTAGTTGGACACAATACCTTTATTTCATTTATTTATTTTTATGTGGTGCTGAGAGGATCGAACCCAGGGCCTTGTAATTGCTAGGCGAGCACTCTACCGGTGAGCCAGCCACAGCCCCTTATTTTGTCTTTTAATATTTTAAACTGACATAAAAGTCAAATTTATAAACATTTCTGGGGTATTGTGATTTTTGATACATGTATATATTATGTAATATTTAAATCAGATTAAACATATCTATCACTTTAAATATCTAACTTTTTTTTTTTTTTTGAGTACCAGGGATTGAACTCAGGGGCTCTCAGCCACTGAACCACATCCCCAGCCCTATTTTGTATTTTATTTAGAGACAGGGTCTCACTGAGTTGCTTAGCAGCTCACTTTTGCTAAGGCTGGCTTTGACCTCATGATCCTCCTGCCTCAGCCTCTGAGCTGCTAGGATTACAGATATGTATTAAATGTCTAACATTTTTTATGATGAAAATATTCAAACTCCCTTCAGGGCATGGTGGCACATGCCTATAATCCCAGTGGCTAGGGAGGCTGAGGCAGAAGGATTGTGAGTTCAAAGCCAGCCTCAGCAATTTAGCAAGGCCCTAAGGAACTTAGTGAGACTCTGCTTCAAAATTAAAAATGAAAAGGGTGGGGATGTGGCTCAGTGGTCAAGCACCCATGGTTTCAATCTCCAGTACAAAAAAACAAAACAAAACAAAACATTCAAACTCCTTTCTTCTAGCTTTTTGAAACACTCAGTATATTATTATTTTTT